TTCTATTTGTTACGCGTAAATCGCGGAGAACGCTATCTTGTGTTTATAAGATCTTTGGCACGCGTGCACGCGTACATCGGAATCGCTGCCATTTGTTCGAAAGTTTTTGGAATGCGTACTCATTCGTGTCGTTCTTCTCGCCTAGCTACCAGATTTTACTGTGTTTCTTTTTAAAAAAAAAGTTGCATGATCTTCCAACAAGTCCTCAAAATCCATGGCATCGAAGTATCACTTCTTAGGCCTACTTGAAAAATGACAAAGACTTTCTACTTGGTCTACCTTTTACTGGTTGTTATAAATACAGTACAGCGTGGTGAGTTAATTAACTTTAAAAGTATAAATTATATTAAATGCTTGCGGTACACCACGTAGGAGGAGATAGTTCTGATAATAACTGTAGGCCCCTATGTTGTTTTTGTTTAGAATTTAATTATTTATCATTTATTCATTTCTCCCAAGTGATATGATGCAATTTTAATGCAATTTGGAAAATATTAAGCCATGCAAAAACTCTATACTTTAAATTCATTAATATGAACTGCTTTTATGCCTTTTTGCTTGAAATTGTTGAGACCTCTATTTCAGCCAAATTTTACCATTTTAATTTTACAACTTTAACGTTTACCTTCATATTTTAACATTTTATACGTGATTTTTTAGTAGAAGATTGTCAATAAGTATATTTAAATTTGTAATCTGTGAACAGACAACCAGAAATTCAAACCAATTACTGTTAATAAGTAATACCTCTTTTAGGTAGATTTGGGCCTACCGCATTGCCTAACAGTAACATTAAAATATCGCGCTTTCAACCATAAATTAAATAATAAATAAAATAAAATAAAACAACAACAACAACAATAATAATAATAATAATAATAATAAAATAATAATAATAATAATAATAATAATAATAATAATGATAATAATAATGTGATAAATTATAAATTATATAATAATTCTGATTATTTGCATTTTCTAAGAAATTAGCGACGCATTTTTCTAGCAAACGACAACAGCCTGTTTTAGGCCTACATACATAATTGCTTTCAATTCTTCTAAATTTATTTTTTCTAACCTGAGCAGCATGTTGCATTAAATGGCATTCTTGTTATTTATTCAGGGTCACGGTCACACAGTAAAATATTGGGATAATAATACTATATTTTACTTTTTTTTGTTATTATTTAATTCATACTGAAATAAGTATTAATCAAAAGTTTAGCATGTCATTGCGAGTTATTCTCCTACCTTTACCTTCCTATCTTTCTTTACACTAGGACTGTCCATTAGAAAGTCAGTTCGTATTCCAGCCGAGTTCAGCAATGCATTGAAACTTCTTCGTCCTCCGGATAGGACGACGTTTATCAAACATTGTTTGCATCAGAGCGGGTACATATGCTCGCAACAAGAGGTCAGGCGCTATGTATGGGGCCTAGAAGATTCCCAACAATTTCAGTTCAGTAACTTCTGGAATTGGTATCGATGTACCAAGACGGGGAATCTGAATGATTGTCCAGGTAGGTATTACAAAAAAAATATTAGCAACAACAACGTACGATGTCCACTATTCGTTATGCCCAGGGTAGTACCACACTTTTGCAACGCCACGGCACATTAAAAGTTTGTCATAAATAGCGTACGCCTGGGTATGGATATCGGTCGGTCATTATCAGTTCTGGAATTTATTTTTGTGCAAAAGCTTTCATTGTAACATTTAAAAGTGTGGTAGGGGAATATTTACCCTCTTTCGCTACTGAAATCGATTTTAACTACAGTATTTAGCGTGCTTTATAGTATACGTCCTTCAAATATATATAATATAAAAAATCTTTCTCCTGTTGACACCAGACTTCAAAGTTTTTACAAAAAAATGTATATATCATGGTATAACACAAACGGATAAGAGCTAATAGAGAATAAATTTGTATTATATTATGCAGTAAATGGCGGATGGAGTGTTTGGAGTACGTGGGGAGAATGTGACGTCACATGTGGTCAAGATGGTCTGAAATCACGTTTCCGCACTTGTGACTCACCAGAACCGAAGAATGGTGGCAGAGATTGCGATGGTCAGACAATTAAAATAACTAAATGCGGCATGATTTTCGCCTGTCAAAACGGTAATCTTATAGAATATATTTTTTTTAAATGATTTATTGCACATGTCCTATAGTATAGGTCTATATTGATTTTTGTTATTCACAGCACTGATCCACTCATTCGCAAACAGTGGCGGATCTAGAGGGGGTGAATGGGGTGGCTAGCCCCCTTCGTTTACCGTGAAAAGAAAAATAATGGTCACGGTCTTTTGTGTGTGCTTCTCATGTACTCTGGTAAAACATGCACTTTATTTTTTAAGCTTCAGATGAAAGTCATTGATCGGTTCCTAGTCCACATATCAAGCGCCCTTACATTAGATGGATATGTGCACTATATAAAACTACACTATTATTATTCTTATTATTATCATCATCATCATCATCATCATCATCATCATCATCATCATCATCATCATCATCATCATCATCATCATCATCATCATCATCATTATCATTATTATTATTACTATTATTATTATTATTATTATTATTATTATTATTATTATTATTATTATTATTATTATTATTATTATTATTATTATTATTATTATTCCCCCCCATTGCTAAATCCTAGATCCGCCACTGGCAAGAGTGTGAAATCAGTTGCTTCCAATTGGATTTGACTTCCAAACAAAGTCTTGCCAAGTTGGTTAAGGCGTCTGTATAAATAGCAGAAACCCAGGTTCAAATACATGCAACTTGTCTTCGCACTCGCCAATTGATTTACTTAATTATTCAATCTTGTAAACATTGCTGGCTCAAAAGTCTATTTTTTAGAGTGATTTTACAGCAATAATCGTATTCCCTATTAGATTCAACGATCTTTACGAGGGTTCACGATAACTACTTGAAGCAGTTGCACAAGAGTAACCCGCAGCTCAAAAGGAAGTGTCTTCGATCGCACTGTAGTTATCAAGAAATTCAGGATATTATTGATCCAAAAGAAGAAGCAGTAAGTTTGAATAATAATAATAAAAATGTTTTTTTGTTTTGCTCGACAACGTGTCGCCAAAAATATAGGGTAATATTGTCTTTAATGATATAGAAACAACTAAATCGGGAACGATGTTTCTTCATAGAATAAATACTGGTCGTATATTAACTGTTACAAACACTCCGAAGGGTGTCCAGTGGATGGAGTGTGGTCAAGCTGGGGAGAATGGAGCCGGTGTTCGTCTAACTGTGGTCACGGTCATCACTATCATCTGCGTCACTGCAATGCTCCGAGACCACTAAATTCAGGAAACATGTGTGAGGGGAGTTTTCTTGAAAACGCACCGTGCTTTGAAAACAATTGTACAAACACAGGTAGACCTATATTATACCCTCTTCCATTTACATCATTATCATCGTCATCATTATCAGTGGCGGATCCAGGAATTTCAAATAGAGGGGGCCCTGAAGAGAGAATTTTACAGATGAAAGTTTCGTACCTCAGCCCCACCATGGTTGTGGCTGAGGTACGAAATTTTATGATTATGGCACCTCTAGATGGCAGGAAATGGCACTCTTAGACTCAAAATTTGAGTAGAATTTTCTTTTTTTCAAACTTATTTTTTAAAAATAATTTTAAAACATTTGGGGGTGGGACGGCTGAGCCCCCTTGAATCCGCCTATGATCATCATCACCATGATAGGGAGTAGTTTAATCATTCATATCTTTGAATTATTCAAGTGTGAACGCCTCGATAGACTTAGTTTTGTAGAAACTTCGTCAGTTACTGTTTGGAACACAAGTCGCCAGTTGACGTCTTTTCTTAAGACAAAATGATGTGTTAACCATACTTGTGTTCAGTCTTAGTGTTATCGTTTTCATTAATCTGGTGGTTGTTGTTTATTCTCAACAAAACCCCATTTTAGTAGATCTCCAGTAACGTTTTATGTATCAGTCGTTCATAGATTCACTCACAGTCAGCAGACTTGACTTGAAGTCTTGATGTGAATAATGATACACATACTGTGACTTATATGCGTACATCTGGAGGTTGATCACACTTTGCAGATACGAATAACTACAATGAGAGCCTGTAAATAATGATCATTATGTAGTGATCTGAGAGACCGTCTATGTACTCAAACATTATAAAATAAGCACAAATAGGTATTACTATAATCGTATTGTTGTTGTTTATTTACCAAAGTCGGATTGCATTTCTCACCTTGGTCACATTGGTCACATTGCTCTGTCAGTTGTGGTGAAGGCATACGACAGTCGATACGTCGTTGCATCGGTGAGGGTACTTGTCTCTTGGCAGACGGAACACCTCGAGAAAGGATCATCAAGGAATCACCATGTGAAACGCCGAGCTGTCTGCGTAAGTACCGGGTACCGGTAGCTTATTGGGGAAAAAATGATAATAGTGTCGCCTGTGTAAATAATTTGTTTACTTCACTGTTATAAATTTGAATACGGGTACATAACCTAGCATTTTTAAATTTCTGAATTAGGTTTAGGTGGCTGGAGCGAATGGAGTGAATGGAGCATGTGCACAGCTGTTTGTGGGCGAGGTGAGCGAGCGCATACGCGATCCTGCACCGATCCAATTCCAGTTGGTCCAGGTAGTGCATGTGAAGGAGATCAGCTGGAGAAGGAGCCTTGCAGTCACTCGGAACCATCATGCTTTACTAATGACACTCAGCCACTTATGGAGAGAGGTAGGTACCTTATTGAAGATTAATATATTGTGTTTGACGCAAGAAAGTCCACTAGTGAACTGGTTATTGCCACTGTGTGTGTTCTGAGTCACGGAGTTTAGTTACCATGAATCACTAATTGATTCTTATAGTTCGTGGTTCAATTCCATGGTAACTGTCCATTCAGTTGGCCGGTGGGCTGAAATGCAACTTAAGCCGAGCACTCACTGCTTCGTACGACAGTGTACGACCGTCGCACGACGAATCCAACTCCGCTCCCTGTGAGCGGTAGACGACGCGACGCCGTATGCTGATTTTCGGTGGCAGTATGAACGGATCGTCATTAATAACCATGCGTTGTGCGCGCGTTCTTCACAGAATCGCGTCGACCGACGAGCGTCGGGCGCTTTAGTGCCTGACTTTACAATACCAAGCTGTCTATCGGCGGAACGTGTGCCCACGTCCCGTTAAAGAACTCTTCGGTAGAGACCATGGTATTGTCTACTGGTGTAACCACAGTACCCATCGAACATTTGTGGGTTAACCGTTGGTATGTTTTACACGGAAAATATCCAAACTTAGTTCTATGGTGTGTTATTCTTTGATCATTATTCTTTGCCTTTATTGAATATTTATTAAAAGCGCGGGTTAGGATTTGGTCAGTTTTAATTTTGTCCTTCGACTAATAAAGTGCAATTAACCTGAAGACCTGTTTTGGCTTCAGAGACGACAAAAGGCCCATGCTTGTCCGAGTAAATGGAATATATTTCACCTGAACTCGGCTTGAAGTTATGATCAATATACATTTATTTAAAAAAAAATATATGACTGTAAGTCATACATTATCATATAAACGTATTGAACATAAGATTGATTTATTCCAGAATATAGTAACTGGGGGAGGTGGTCAGCTTGCAGTGCTACGTGCGCCGGTGGAACAAAGTTACGTCATCGAAGTTGTGTTGACGAGGACCAGGACATGCCGTGTGTTGGAGCCCTATACGATGTTGAAGAATGTAACGAGCATATTCCATGCCCTGGTAAAGTCTTGAATTAATTATGAAGAAACAATAAAACATTTCCCATTTAACTCAATTTAGGAGCAGGTACAATAATTTAACAGAAAATCAAACCCTTTAATATACATCGTATTACCCAAAATATTTCTTTATTTAAAATGATTTCCCAATATTAAAGTGATACGATATTCATTGATTACTGTAAGTACTAAAAGAGAGGTTTACCAATTTTATATAATTTGGGAACATCTCAGCTAAGCGACAGGCCATTGTAATGCATAGGATTATGATGATTCGACAAAGTCATGTCGCTAAAACTCGGATGGAGAGCGCTCTATCCGAGTTTTAGCCGCGACGCGCCAGCTACATCTTGGTTAAGAGCGTCTACGTACTGAACGCGCACGAGATCCGAAATTTAGAAAAAAGGATATAATGTACGATACCTAAATATGCTAAATCAGTTCTCATATTATATAATATTTGTAAACTTCTCCTTTAATGTATGATATGATGTAAATCATCAACCCTATGGTTTATATATACCTTTTAAATTATTCAACATTTTCGCCTGATAATAATTGTTTGATTGTTATTTATTCCATCAAGCTATCTAAATATTTGTTTTTTTTTCAAGTGTTTCGATTATGTCAATAAAGTTAGCTTAATCTTATATAAACTTAATAATCCTAATAATATACAACGTTATTCTCAACTCACCACCACCCTCCAAAATATATAATGCCTTTGGTATTTATTTTGGTTTGAATACAGTTGATGGTGATTGGTCAGAATGGACGGAATGGAGTTCATGCTCTGAAACATGTGACTCTGGTTTTGCTGAAAGACATCGTCTGTGCACCATTCCACGGCCTGCATTTGGTGGAGCAGTTTGTAGTGGCCCTGCAACGGAGCGTAAGGACTGCCAAAATGTCGGTTGTCCAGGTAGAATAACTTTTGAACTTATAATGCTCTGTTATTTCGTTATGAACACAAAGAACAATTCTGCTTTTACCGAATCTAAACTGTACAATGTTAGACTTGGCATGAATCTGAAATAGAGGGTCACTCTAAATCATATTACATATTTGAATATGTTATTATTTGGAGTGGCAGTCTCTTGGTATGACGTCATCATTATTCAGTTCTAAAGCTGGGCACTCACTACGTCGTACGACGGTCCAACCCGCGAGAGCTAGACGACGCGACGCCGTTTGCTGGTTGTCAGCAGCAGTCTGAACAGATCATCATTAAAAACGATCCGTTGCGCGCGTCGTAGCGTTGCATTCTCCATAAAATCACGGGAATGATGAGTACCCAGCTTAACTCACGTATTATCCCGATAATGCCACATTAATTTCTGAACATTACGTTTTTATTTTGCAGAACTGACTCCGTCATGGGGTGAGTGGGGTAACTGGTCACAATGTACTGTTTCATGTGATGGTGGTACAAACACTCGTAGCCGATCGTGTCTTGTGCAAGAGGAAATTGTGGCCACTGACAGATGTGGCGGAGAGTATCGACAGCTTGGTGCTTGTAGTCCTGAAGCTTGTCCAGGTAAGAAAACATAGTTACTTCTTCAATTGACTAAGCAGACGTTTGGAAAGGGGACCACTCGTGACCAATAGATCAATCAAATTGGAAACTCTGCCATTATGGTGAACGCGTTGATATGTTCTAAATGTTCACATCAATATAAAATAATTACGACTTACAAGCAGAGAAGAGAAAATGGCATGATAATGTTCATTTCTTACTTTTAAACACCTTATAATGTTCGTGAGCTTTAAACAACATTCCACTGGCCATGTGGAATATTTGGGTTTCTAGCCAGTTAATACAATTCGTATTCTTTTGAATAGACCAATACATTGTAAATTAATAAATTCTAGCATAAATCTATTGTCTAATGAGTTATCAACCTTTTTAATACAGTGTATCCTTTCATCTTACAAGTGACAAACTGTTTCGGTAACAAAGTTCCATCTACTGTGTCAATTACTTCAAACAAATCTATAAAATGTGATAAATAAATACTTAAAAATGCGTAAATGTGTATTTGTTTTTATTTTGAAAGTGAACGGAAATTGGGCAAATTGGAACGAATGGCGACCGTGCTCTGTGAAGTGCGGTGAAGGGATTACTTCCAGAGATCGCACCTGTACCAATCCTGCGCCGATTGGTAGCGGAAGCGTATGCGATGGCTATGGTACAGAATCCAGACATTGTTATTCGCAACCTTGTACAGGTAGGTAGGCTCCTTGGTAATTTAATTAGACTTTTTGTTTTAGTTCGTATAACGTTGAATGCTTATAATTTAATCACTATGTGTTATTTAATCATTGTGTGTTAATGTAGCATTGAACATCCTTGAATACGAATTATTTTTCCTTGGCACAACTACTAAAGTTTTTACAATAACAAATTAAGTAGGAAATGGCTAAAGAAATAAATACCAAATAACCTTTCGTTCGCTTGTTTAAGTCCAAAATTACAGTGGAAGATCCGTCTTCAACCAGACGTCTGCAGGTTACAATTGAAGGTACATTTTTAGGTGTAGGTTGACTGTGGTGTTGTCGCAGATTTTGAACTGATGTGCTGGATCGGTCGACCACAGCGTTGGTGTGGTTTAACAGGGTCGCCGCGTGTAGGATTCAACATGACCCCAACCTGAAAACCCAGTATTGAAAGTATGGTTTTTTGCATTGATACATATTTGTCTTTGCTTTTAGAACATGGGGATGTGATGAGGTTATTTGACGGAAATTCTTTTCTGATGTACCGGAAGTCAGGTAACCCAACTAAACAAGTTCTCATCTATCTACGTCTGCTGCCTGAATCTTCAGATGGTCTGATTCTAATGAAACGTTATGAACATCATGAGGAACCACTCATCTATGTCAGTTTGTTAAATAAATGCGTGTATTTGTATGCTAAATTTGGTTCTGCCGAGCTCAAAGTGGTTGGTTACCCAGTAACGGTGAGTCTATCCTCTATCAAATTGATCATTCAGAACGTGCAATTTTTAGTGTCAGGAAAACGATACAAAATAGCAAGATGATGTATATTTTACGTGGCTGTTTTGTGGGATCTCAGCAACAATATCCAAGGAGCAGAGCTTACCCGAACGGTAGATTGCGTTATTCATCAGCTACAAGTGACGATATGAAAGATATAAGCAGCTTCTAATAACATAACCGTACATGTAGCATGACAACCCGTGAAGGTGTTACACTCAATTAAGAAGGCCTAAGTTGGAAAGATATTTGATAATTTTTATTTATTTATTTTATTTTATTCAAAAAATACCTCCAAACAGGAGAAGCATACAAATAAAAACACGTTCGGAAACAGAATATTGACTTAAATTATAAAAAGACAAATAATTAAAACACAGCACAAGGTAAACTAAACTAAACTAAATAATGGTTCTACCATCACACAAGATATATTGAAAAACCCCAAAAATATTTTGTTAGCTTAAGTATTGTTCAATTTAGGAAGACACGATATCATTACTAGCATTTTCAATATGATATTATATTATATTCCTTACTTTCTCATGCACAGCTTTTTGAATGGAACACGATACAAGTTTCTATCACAGGAAACCTGGGACATGTTCGTGTAAATGACGAATACACGCATACGGGTAATTTTACCGACGAACTGTCCGAAAATCTTGACTACGACATCCCACTATACCTCGGTGGCTGTATGCCTCATCTCTACCCAGAGGATGAGAGTATGTTAACAGGTAAAACTATTCAATAGTAGTTTTTAACAAAATGTAGTTTAGCAAATTCGTGTACATTAAAAACCTCATCATAAAGGTTATTCTAATAATGTTGAGATACTATTACAGACTGGACTGGTTTTGTTGGGAAGATTGCCACCTTTAGAATGAACTATTATTCCATGAGTTTGATTGAAGATGTCGAAAACTGGCAGGGAGCAAATCGGCCATATACGAGCTTGAACAGCGGCATAGAAATGATGGGTAAGTACTAAGAGTGTCTTGATAACTTCAGCAATTATTCATGATTCCTCACTTATTTGGCGGTAATTAATAATTAGAAACACGCCATCATGGTCTTTACATTGTGTTCTCAGATTAGACACTGTACACGAATTAGAATATTTTGTTCTTCATATGGAACATTAAATCGGTTGTTCGCTGTAACTTATCAAACAAAATCTTTTGACTAAAATGAATTATGAAATATCCGTGACGTGATGCATTGTGCTATTAAAGGAATTGCTGTTATCGCTTTTTTTTTTTTTTCAAAACTTGACCTTCTTCCTAAACATAATAGTAATTTTACAGATATAATGGCAGCCGTCACTGCGTTCAACGGAGAACAGTTTTCTACTATTCAACTAAAGTCTAATGAAAATCTGCAAGACATACAAGCTGTGGTCAATCCTCAGGACTCCATTGGTCTCTTGCTGTTTGTGAGCGGCTCCATTTCCGGCTCGTTTTTGTCCCTGGAACTAGCCAAAGGAAAGCTTTTTCTCTCCGTGCGTTTGAGAAATAGGGTAATGGAGTTGGAACGAGATCTCGATGAGGTAGGAACTGCTTAGCCCGGCTCCCTTATGGCTTAAACCTCATGCACAATGCGTATATTGATCTTGAGCGCTTGTCCGATACCTTAAAGGCTAATCCACTGACCATCGGCAGGGGCGGATCCAGAGATGTCCAAAAGGGGGCAAGGGGGGAGGGCGAAAGTTGGGCTGATCGAGACAACCCTGTCATATTCATATGTTGTGT